ATTTGATGTTCTAGGGTTTCAGGATTGTTGATTCTCTGTTTGGCTTAGTTTTTCGGATCTTTGTTGTGGAGGGACGGCGTGGTGCTTCTGCCTAGACCGCCATCTTGCCGGAGACCTCAGCATATACCTGTTTCTTAATGTAGTTATTAATAGCTTATCTTCCTCCCCCAGAAGTATCCTAGTATGAGCAGTACATGCTGTATTTGTCCTACATAAGACCTTTCTCATCTCCTTGACTTGTGTAGCCTTTCCTCCTTGTACTTACATAAAAATCCTTAGTCTCTATCATAGCATTTAACTTACTCTTACTTTTCTGTTTGTGTATCTGTTTCCTTCACTAGATTTTGAACTCCAGGAGGTCATTGTTTATATCTTTTTCATCTTTTTATCACTAATGCCTGTCCTATAGTGGTATTCAGGAAATATGAATGTTGATCAAAAGATGTTTAATAACTTTTTCAGAGGGCATTCCATTCAACTATGTGGCCCACAAGCCTAAAACGTTTACCATCTGACCCTTTACAGAAGAAGTATGCTTTTCTGTAATAGAATAGGAGGACTGATAATTATAATAAAATTATTAATTGCTAATATTTATTGATGCTTACCATACATCAGGCAATATTTTAAATGTATTGCATGTATTAACTCATTGAATCCTCACAACAACCTAATGATTTAGGTGCTCATATTCAAGGCTGCCATATAGGGTTGTGTGGGTTGTGCACTGCACACAAGTGTCTGGCTAGGTGGATGAGTGGGAGCTGAAATCTAGTATGTGTTTACATTTCCTTAGCTGTGTGCATTGGCCCAGGGTTGTGTCTAATGAGAGAGAGGAGTACCTTTTTCCCATAAGAAGATAGCCACTGACCATTTGCGAGCCCATAAGGCTGCATATATCCAGAGGGGACGCTAAAATAGACAGATTTTTCTACTTTGCTGCCCAGAGAGAGGAACATTTTCAAACTTTGCACAGAAGAGCTGTATAGGCAGGCTAATGATCATCTTGCTGATATGTTTCTCATTTTACAGCTGAGGAAACTGAGGTATATATAGAAAGAAAGATTAAGTTATTTACCTAAGATAACACAGTCAGTAAGTGGCAAAGCTTGTGTTTGAATCTAGAAACACTGGCTCAATAATGCATACTAAATGTTAGCATCTTCTGGTGAACCCTCATGGAGCAGTGGTTGCTTGTAGTGAAAACATCAATTTTTAGGTAAGAACTGCACTTCCTAGTAATATTAGCATTCTGAGTATACACTGTGGATAGTACTAGCATACCATGCAACTTACGTAGCGTCTTCAACTCCTTTCTCCCTAAAAATGTTTGCTTAGTGTGCTGAGGAATTTGGAAAGTCCTTTCTGATATAATGAGCCAGTGGAAAAGCATAAATGTGCTTTTCTGGAATTGAATGATAGAAAAACTCTTAAAGATCTTCTATTTTTATATCTGCTATTTTTTACACAGTCTGTCATTATTCTCTTTTTAATTGGTATAAAGAAAAATTAAATTCATTTGTTTTCACAGTACTTCTTATTTCAGAATATAAAATAACGAGGAATATTAAAATATTTCAGTGAATGAAGTAGAAGTAAATGTATCTGTCAGGATGTATGTCGTTTGCATAAAAAGTGTATCTGATCTTTTTGACTCTTATAAGGACATGGTGGAAATGGTTTCTTAAAATTTCAAGATTCTGAAGAAATTACTAACATAGAACTTGCAGATGCTTTTGAACAAATGTGGCAGAAAAGACGGTAATTAGCAAATTCTTTTCATAATATAAATTAGTGCATGATTTTTGCATGGTTAGTAGATTTGTGGCTCTTAATTTATAGGATTTTAACTTATTTTAATTATTCCTTCTTGCATTTTAAATTTGTGTTCATTATTTATACTGACCTAAGGTTTTTTGTTTTTTTTTTTCCCCCAAGAAGAACTCAGGCTTTTTACAGAACATGAAAATAAGGTCAATCTTTTGAGGTTACATCTCTTGTTATTTAGCATTCTTTCCGGAGGAAATAAAAGCCCCTCCAACCAAGTTTCCCATCAGTTATGGGGATTAAGAATTTATATTTATTTTTCCAACTTGTGCCTATAGTAAGGAGCCCTGGTGGCGCAGTGGTTAAGTGCTTGGCTGCTAATGGTTAAGGTTGATGTTTTGAACCCACCAGCTGCTACACAGGAGAAAGATGTGGCAGTCCATAAAGATTTATAGCTTTGGAAACCCTATGGGTTCTATTCTGTCTAAAGGGTTGCTGTGAGTCAGCGGGCAATGGGTTTTGTTTTGTTTTGTTTTGGTACCAATTCTTACTTTCTAGCACATTCTCTGGTTCTTAATATGATAAAAACAAAAAACTAAACCTGTTGCCCTTGAGTTGATTCTGGCTGATGGTGGCCCTGCGTGTTAGAGAGTAGAACTGAACTATATAGGGTTTTCTTGGCTGTAGTCTTTGTGGAAGCAGATCGCCAGGCCTTTCTTATGTAGTGCAGCTGGGTAGGTTCGAACTGCCAACACAATTCTGTTCTGACACACATGGGGTTGCCATGAATCAGATTAACTCGATGGCAACTTTTTTTTTTGTTTGTTTGTTTATTTTAAATTCAGTTATATTTTTATGTGTCTGTCTCTCAGGGTTTTTAAGCATGTTATATATATATATTATATGAACTTAGGTCAGTTTCTAGGACAGCACAGGTGCCAAATAAGTGTTTGAATATTGAATCTTTTTTTGGATTCTGAATCATGTGGCATAGACAAGGGAGGGGGAAAGTATTGGGGCAGCCACTTGAGCACAACTACTCCGTGTTGTTAACTTTTCAAATATCAAATTTCTATTGGGTATTCTGAAAAGTCTTCAAATTTTTAGCTAATGAAATGACTAAGATATGACTTAAACATCTTATGTTATGGAGGTATTAAAAGTGTTAATGTATGATTAACGTCATTATTCATGTCAAGCATATTATCACTTTTTTTTTCAGCTACAATGAGCTACTGTTTATTATTGATACTTGTCAAGGAGCATCCATGTATGAGCGATTTTATTCTCCTAATATAATGGCTCTAGCTAGTAGCCAAGTGGGAGAAGATTCACTCTCGGTAGGTGTATTTTTCTCATTTGTAAATTTCACCGTCTTTGAAATGTGTAGCTATTTCTGAATTACTCGTATGCCATATGACTATATCTGTTATTTCTTATTCTTGGACTTTTTAACACCTTACAAGGAAATGTTAATTACAGTTTAAGCATTGTTTTCTAGCACCAGCCTGATCCTGCGATTGGAGTCCATCTTATGGATAGATACACATTTTATGTCTTGGAATTTTTGGAAGAAATTAATCCAGCTAGCCAAACTAATATGAATGACCTTGTAAGTATTTGCCTGATTTGATTGTAGCATATCAATATGCTAATATTAATGTGATGAATGAAGTCTATTTTTCTGTGTACTCCTAAGGTGCTGTTTCATGTGTTGAATGGTGGCCTTTTAAAATGTTTTGAATCTACTGTTATAGTAGTATTTCTTTCTTTACCACAAAAGATCGAAGCTTTAGCCCAGTTTACTTCCTATTCCTTGAGGTGCTTTCCTGTTTTCATTCATTTGCTTATGCTTTTTTTCCTACCAGAAATGTACTTTTGTTAGTTTCACATGTTGAAATTCTACGTATGCTTCAGGACTCTAATCAGATTCTACTTCATGCAGGAAATTTTCCCTCATTCTTCTCAGTTGGATTGTTTCTTTGTATTTTCCCAGCCCCCGTGGAACTTTCCATCTCTTCTGTAGCATTTACACATTCTTTTATTGAACTTAATGAGTATGAGTGTCTTTTTTAATAGGGATCTCCTGGAAGAGAGAAACCTTATCTTAGATATTTTTGTGTGTCTTACAACTTCTAATATAGGGTTTTGACATCACTTACTGAATTTCAAAAAAAATTCCTGACTTTCTGTGCTGATTGTATCTTTTTAACTAGATCTACTTTGAAGTTGCTGTTGAAAGTAGGCATAATTAAAAGCTGAAATGACAATCCTAGACTGGATAATTATTGTACATCAATGTTTTTCAGTCTTTTTTCCATAAATTTATACCTTGTTCATTCATTCACAAAAATTTCTTGAGTGTTTGCTAAGTGCCAGGCACTGGGTATACCGTAGTGAAAGAGGCAGACACTGTTCCTGCCTTCATGGAGCTTAGGAATGAAGGGGAGGCTGAGCAGGCAGGGCTGTGGACTCTCAGCACCACTTCAGCTAAACAGCTTTGCATTTATCTATTTTATTATGCAGTAAGTTTTGGGATAAGTTTTCATTTAGTAAGGGGGTTTGTGATGGTTAAGACTGTGTGTCAACTTGGGTGGGCCATGATTCTCAGTGTTTGGCAGTTGTATAATGTTGTGATCACTTTCCTGTTGAAATTTGATACGTGATCACCCCAATGATGGAATCAGCTGAGTGGTACTGGCGGGGGCGGGGCCTGTGGCGGCCCACTGCCGCCTCAGCCTTCGTCTCCTCGCCCTCCTCTGCGTACTTCCTTCCTGCTTGCCTTGCCAGGGCTTTTGCTTGTTCTGGATCCTGCAGCTGGCTCCCGTTTGTCTGGCCTCTGGTTCTTGAGACTTGGGCTAGCAGCTTGCTGGCAGTCTTGCGTGCTGATGGTTGATCTTCACAGCCTATTTCAGCACTGCTCTCCAGCCTGCGAATCTTGGGTTCACCAGCCCCTACAACTGTGTGAATCAGGAGAATTTTCTTTCCTTCCTCACGAACTTGAGACTTACACCCTCTTAAAACAGTGTGAGCCATTTTCTTGATGTAAATCTCTCTTTATGTATATATGTGTGTATTATGTGTGTGTGTGTTTATACACATATATACATATACCCGTTACTGGTTTTGCTTCTCTAGAGAACCCAGTCTAAGACAGTGTTCTACTGCAAAAATCTGAAAATCACTTCTATAGGCTCTCAAATTTGATAGAATAAAACCACTTACTATATTTTGAAGGGAATATATTTTGGTATCTATTATATCTTAATATGAATTTGAATATTAAAACTATATAATGATATTTTAACTATAATAAAATTATAGTCACTGTATTAGTTTTCTAGGTCTGCTGTAACAAAATACTTCAAGTGACTTATAAGAATAGAACTTTATTGTCTCACAGTTCTGGTGGCTGAAAGTCCACATCACGGTATCGGCCATGTTGATTCCTTCTGAGGGAGAATCTGTTCCATTCCTCTCTCCTAGCCTGGGAGCCCCAGACGTTCCTTGGTGTGTAGCTTCAGCATCACATCATATCCTTCTTCTGTCTCTCTGTCTCTGTGTATTTTCTCCTCTTTTATAAGGACACCAGTCACATAGGATTAGGACCCACACTACTTCAGTATGACCTCATATTAACCTAACTTAGACATCTTCAAAGACTCTGTTTTCAAACTGGGTCACATTCACAGGTACAGGGGTTAGGACTTCAATAAATCTTTTTGGGGGACACAATTTATTCCTTAACAGTCCACCTAAATTCCAGTTACTTTAATTTTAAAGTTTACTCCCATTTTGGATTATACATAACCCATTACAATCTGTACTGGATTTTTTAAAAACTTAATTATTTTAGAGCAGTTTTAAGTTTATGGAAAAATTGAGCAGAAAGTAAGAGAGTTCCCATATACTTCCCCCTGCTCCCCATACAGTTTTCCCTATAAGTAACATCTTGAATTACTGTGGAACATTTTTTATAATTGATGAACCAATATTGATACATTATTATTAGCTAAAGCCATAGTTCACTTTAGGGTTCACTCTTTGTATTGTACAGTTCTGTTGGTTTTGATGAATGCCTAATGTCACGTATCCACCATCACAATGTCATACAGAATAGTTTCACTTCGCAGTGGTATACCTATTGATCCCTCCACTTTTCCCCTTGAGCCCCTGGCAACTGCTGATCTTTTTACTGTCTCTGTAGTTATTTCCCTATTCTAGAATGTCATATAGTTGGAATCATATTGTTTGTTGCCTTTTTTCCAACTGGCTTTTTTCATTTAGCAATATGCATTTAAGTTTCCTCCATGTCTTTGTGTAGCTTGATACATCATTTCTGTTTATCACTGAAAAATGCTCCGTTGTATGAATTTACCATAGTTTATCCATTCACCTATTGAAGGACATATTGGTTGTTTCCAGTTTCTGTCAATTATGAATAAAGCTGCCATAAACATTTGTGTGCAGGTTTTGTCTGGTCAGATGTTTTCAACTCATTTAGGTAAATATCTAGGAGCACAATTGCTGGATTATATGGTAGGTCTATCTTCTAGCTCTGTAAGAAACTGCCAGACTGTCTTCCAAAGTGGCTGTAGCATTTTGCATTCCTACCAGCAGTGAGTGAGAGTACCTGTTGTTTCACATCCACGCCAGCATCTGGTGTCAGTGTTTTAGATTTTAGCCATTCTAATAGGTGTGTGTCCCTGGGTGGTGCAACCAGTTAATGCGCTTGGCTGCTAACCGAAAGGTTGTAGGTTCAAGTCCACCCAGAGGCACCTTGGAAGAAAGGCCTGACAATATATTTCCAGAAAATCAGCCATTGAAAACCATATGGAGCACAGTTTTACTGTGACACATGTGGGATTGCCATGAGTTAGAATTTCCTGAGGTCTTAAAAGCTTACAAGTGGCCATCCAAGGTGCAATAATTGGTCTCTATTAGCATGGAGCAAATACAGCTGTGTTTTTGATGAGTGGCAAATGCCTCATTTAGTAGGAAGTGAACTTTTTGACCATACGTCAGAGGTATACCTAATATTTCATTCATTTTTAGCTTTTCGATAATACCTATCTGTAGGGACTAGGAAAAAAAATTCCTAGTCTTCATTGAGGAATCTCTTTCAGTTCTTTTGTGTGACATATGATGGAAGAAAATTAAGCTCATTTACTAAATTTTTGTGAAGAGATTTTGACTTGAATGGAATCATAGCTAAATCTGCTCAGTAAAAATTTAAGTTAGGAATTTATTTTATGTATATATATATTTTATTCTAAAAATAAAATGAGAGGAACTGAAATGGTTTCATTTAGAGATAAGAATTCAACAAACGTTTGCATGACTATCATGTAGTTCTTACTTTTCTAGGTTTTTAGAGGCTTCAGACGGAGTTCACACTTGTGAAGGTGTTGTGTGAAACATGGCAAAAAGCCCAAGAGTAAATGTTCTTAAACCAACATGAAGCCCACAGAATTAGTAACTTTATGATGGTAACTGTGAGAAGACATGGGAGAAGAATAGCAAGGCATCTGCTTTTTTTTTTTGCTGTGTTTTATGTTACAATTGGCATTATAGATCTCTAGAAATTGATAGCCCTGAATTTAATATCTGGCTTCTCTGTCTTACAAATTATTGTCATAAATTATTTCTAAAGCTCACTTTTTTCCTCCCCAACATTTTATTATGAATATTTTCAAACAAATAACATAATTGAAAGAATTTTCTGGTGGATATGTATATACCCACCACCTGGAATTTACCATTACCATTGTACTCTGCTGGTAAAACCCAATTTTTATCACGTTACTGCCCAACTTAGGAGTCCCTGAGTGATGCAAACGGTTAAGCACTCAACTGCTAACTAAAAGGTTGACTGTTTGCACCCACCCAGAGATGTGTGGGAAGAAAGGCCTGGCAATCTGCTTCCAAAAGGTCACAGATATGAAAACCATATGGAGCACACTTCTACTCTAACACATATGGGATCACCATGAGTTGGAATTGACTCGAAGGCAACTGGGTGTTTTTTGTTGTTGTTGTTACTGCCCAGCACAACAAATTTCAGTATCTTCCCATTATCTATTGGATAAAACCCAGGTTCTTCAGCCTCTCGTTTAAGGTTTTCCATGATCTGTCTCTGCCTTATCATTGGCCATTACTGTCAGTTTTACTAGTTTAAGGATATGGCCGTAAGGTAATAATGCTCACCAAGTTGCTCATACAGGAACTCCCTGAGAAGCTTTCAGTCTGCCTAGGACTTCAATCTTTGCTTATTTTGTTTTGTCTTTTACTGTTTCTTAAACCTTCCATCTACTTTGTTCTTTCTCTTTGGCACTTTACTTTCTTGAACTTCCTCCCCTCTGCTTTTTTCCCTTTTCTTTACTTCCTAATTTTATATCCTGATCTCTTTGTATTTCCTTGTATTGCTTTTCTGAACAGATAAGGCAAGGATTTGGAGTCAGCTAGATCTGCCACTTGTTGACATTGTGATGTTAGGCAAATTTCTTAATCTTTTTGAGACTTAAAGTGAAGATAATAATTTTGACATACCTCGGAGTAACTGGTAGGCTTAAGTGAGAATACCTACAAATTGCTTAGCACAATGCTTATAACACTGTGTTTCATAAGTTGTAGCTCCTGTGCCCTTTCGCCACCCCTCTTAAGTTGGTAATTACCTATCAGATAGTCAAGTCTCCACAGGTGGGGCCTGTGCCCCTACTGGCAGGACTGTAGTTGTTTCCTGTCATATATACTGTGCTTCAGCTAAACCAGGTTGTTTGTTGTACACGTCTCTGTAGCTGCTCCTTTATTAAGAATGCTCCTGTTTCCTATCTGTAAATCCTACTTTTCTTTCAAAAATTAGCTTAAATTCCACTTCCTCTTTTTTTCCATCCTCAAACTAAAAGAAGTTTGTCTTTCTGAAGTGGAACCTTTTTCTACCTTGTTATGTTTATTCACCTCTAACTAGGCTTAAAGCCTTGAGGACAGGATCATATGTCATCGATCTTTGTATCCTCTATGAAAGGTAACACTATCAACTCTTTTTATGTTATGCAGAGTGGATGAATATGTCTGTCCTTGGTTGTTCCCGGATGTGGAATATCAAGGATAAGATTAACACAAAAATTATTTGAAATCCATATGGCAGTAAAGTTGTGGTTTTCAGAGTATTCTTTGGAGCACTGGAGGATCTGTGGAGGGCCTTGGGTTTATTTACATCCTGGATAAACTAAGAAAGTTATTTGATTTTTTTTGTTTTGTTTTGTTTGTTTTAACGAAGAGAAGTTTACTTCCTCTCAGTCAAAGTAGGCTAAAAGTCCAAATTCAGGGTGTCAGCTCCGGGGGAAGACTTTCTCTCTCTGTCGGCCTTCTCATCAGTGTTCCCCCGGACTAGGAGCTTCTCGGCCCAGTGACCCCTGTCCAAAGGACCTGCTCTGCTCCCTGCACTGCTTTCTAGATGGTATGAGGTCCCCTGGAAGTTATTTGATTTTTAAAACAGTTTACATAGGCTCACAGCAGGAGATCAAGGGGAATATCTAGTGGAGAGGCTGTGCGTCAACTTCCTGTAATCCAGAGCAGCTCACTTCACCTTTTTTTTTTTTTAGCATACTGGGCTACTAAGTAATATTTTATTTGATTGAAAAGTTTGAATGGTAAGTCATGATTACAAAGTGTTTGAAAACCACTCTGGTAGAGCACCCCACTGAGATGGATATAGATGTAGAAAAAAAGGCTATTCTTTTGTTATAGTGCTGTTTGATTTCACCATGAATTAAGAGTTCAATATATATTTTGTAGCATATGATTCAAGAAAGTGAACGTTTTCTTTTTTTTTTTAATTGTACTTTAGATGAAGGTTTACAGAGCAAACAGTTTTCTCATTAAACAATTAATACACATATTGTTTTGTGACATTGGTTGCCAAACTCACTACATGTCAACATTCTCCCCTTCTGGACCCTGAGTTCCCCATTAGCAGCTTTCCTGTCCCCTCCTACCTTCTCATCCTTGCCCTTGGGCTGTTGTGTCCCTTTAGTCTCATTTTGTTTTATGGGGCTGTCTAATCTTTGACTGAAGGGTGGACCTCAGGAGTGACTTCATTGCTGAGCTATAAGGGTGTCTAGGGACCATACTGCTGGGGTTTCTCCAGTCTCAGTCAGATCAGTAAGTCTGGTCTTTTTTGTGTAAGTTAGAATTTTGTTCTACATTTTTTTACAGGTCTGACTGGGACCCTCTATTGTGATCCCTGTCAGAGCAGTTGGTGGTAGTAGCTGGGTACCATCTAGTTGTGTGGGACTCAGTCTGGTGGAGGCTGTGGTAGTTGTGGCCCATTATTCCTTTGGACTAATCTTTCCCTTGTGTCTTTGGTTTTCTTCTATATCCTTTGCTCCAGAAGGGGTGAGACCAGTGGAGTATCTAGGCTGCTCACAAGCTTTTAAGACTCCAGATGTTACTCACCAAAGTAGAATGTAGAATGTTTTCTTTATAAACTATGTTATGCCAGTTGAGCTAGATGTTCCCCAAGACCATAGTCCCCAGAGCCCTCAGCCCAGAAATTTGGTCCCTTAGGGAGTTTGGATGATGTGTCTGTGGAGCTTCCATGACCTTGCCTTGAACAAGTTCTGCTGGCTTCCCCAGTATTGTGTACTGTCTTACCCTTTACCAAAGTTATTACTTATCTATTGTCTGTTTAGTGTTTTTCCCTCCCACTCCTCTCCTCCCTTGTAACCATCAAAGATTATTTCTTATTTTGTGTAAACCTTTTCATCAATTTTTATAGTAGTAGTCTCATACAATATTTGTCCTTTTGTGATTGACCTATTTCACTAAGCATAATGCCCTCCAGATTCATCCATGTTGTGAGGTGCTTTGCAGATTCATCATTGTTCTTTATCATTGCATAGTATTCCATTGTGTGTATGTACCATAGTTTTTTTATCCATTCATCTGTTAATGGGCACCTAGGTTGTTTCAGTCTTTTTGCTATCATGGATAATGCTGCAGTGAACATGGTGTGCATATGTCTATTCATATGACGGCTCTTATTTCTCTAGGATATATTCCTAGGAGTGAGATTGCTGGATCATATGGTATTTCTATTTCTAGCTTTTTTAGGAAGCGCCGTAGTATCGTTTTCCAAAATGGTTGTACCATTTTGCATTCCTACCAGCAGTGCATAAGAGTTCCAATGTCCCTGCAGCCTTTTGTTACTTTGTTTTGTTATATTCTGTTTTTTTTTTTTTTAAATTTGTACCAGTAATGTTGGGGTGAGATGGTATCTCATTGTAGTTTTGATTTGCATTTCTCTAATGGCTAGTGATTGCGAGCATTTCCTCATGTGTCTGTTAGCTGCTTGAATGTCTTCTTTGGTGAAGTGTCTGTTCATTTCCTTTGCCCATTTTTTAATTGGATTATTTGTCTTTTTGTTGTAGAGGTGTTGGATTTTCCTGCAGGTTTTAGAGATTAGGCCTTTGTCAGATTTCTCACAGTGAAAAATTTTTTCCTAGTCTGTGGCTTCTTTTTTTACTCTTGGTGAAGTCTTTTGATGAGCATAAATGTTTAAATTCTAGGAAATCCCATTTATCTAGCTTATCTTCTGGTGTTTGTGTAAGAAAGTGAATGTTTTTGCCCTACATGGCCAGCTTCCCTTTTATTACTGTTATAACGTCTGCATAGCTTTCTTAGAATGTCAAGCATTACAATAATAATAAAACTTTAATCTTTAGAACTATTAGCTTCTTTAAGTTGGAAGAGCCTTAAAAGTACACTACAGTCTACTGTGTTGTATCATTGGTTTAATATATGTAGGTGTATATTTATTATTTATGTATATGTTTTTCAGTTTCAGGTATGTCCCAAAAGTCTGTGCGTATCTACTCCTGGACATCGCACTGATCTTTTTCAGAGGGATCCTAAAAACGTCCTGATAACTGATTTCTTTGGAAGTGTACGGAAGGTGGAAATTACAACAGAGACTATTAGTTTGCAACTGGATTCAGAAATTATGGAAGACAGGTATACATCTTAAATTATTATTTGAGTGGAATACTCTAGTCTCACAATTTATAAAATTTGATGAAGCCTGATATTAAGAGATGAAAGTTGGTGTTTGTAAATGAAATTACACATTTCACTTTATGTAGGCCCTGTGCTTTTCAGATATATGGGCAAAAATTGTAATTATCAGTGGGAAGCCACGATCGTGATTACAATTATATTGGAGTTCCAAAATACAATGCTTGTAGTGGTATGATTTAAGGCTTGCTAAAAAGACCTGACTTCATAACTGGCTGTCTCATAGCCTTACTTTTCTGTCAGTGGAAGTATATGTAATGGTTCAGAAGATCTTTATGAAAGTGCAAGTATGTGAACATTTCAATCCATTTGTACTCATTAACAGGTGTATGTGTACTGTCACCTACTGCAGTAGAAGCTGTTAAGTAATGGGGCGTTGAATAGCGAAGTTGGCAGCTGGGTATTTAGGGTGTAATAAAGGCCCTAGGAATCTGGCACATGCAAAGCAGACAAACATGAAAGGGGGAGGTGAGTTCTAAAAGAATGTAGATGCCGAATACATACTTCAAAGTGTAATATAATGCTTCCATGTTTAGAATTTCCCTGAGCTCCAGCAATCTGATTAGCCTGCTAACTGCCACTTATTTTGGTTCCTGTAGTCTGGGTGGTTGGTGAATTCAGTAAAATTCTAAGCTTTGTTATATGCTCTTAAGAATGTCATTTTGGCACTTAAATTATCTCCCTGTTTTAGTTTGAAAGCGAAGATTGTTGGTGCTGAAGATTGTCTTAATTTATCTTTAGTTTGAGGAGAAAATTATCTTAAGCTTCAAAGCCAGATAACCAACCACTGTTGAATTAGAGCACCCTCTAGTGTTTATAGTAAATTTTATTAAGGATGTTGCTATTTATGAGATGGTTTCATAATTACTGGTATACTTTTATGCAGTTAATTTATGAGAATTAAATTCCCAACCTGGTCCAGGAATTTTTACCTGAATGCTAGAAAATATGTGTAGGTGCTATTTATATGCAAAGATGAACGGCAGGCAGAAGTTTATTTAGAGAAAAGTATATTCAGGAGTGATCAGATATCACAAGAAAACTATTTTATTAAGGAAATTACAGGATAGAATGTATATGTATTTTTTTTCAAATCTTGGGTTAAAAAATCATTGGTTAAAAACAGTGTATTGGTCATTGTTATTAAAATTGGCAGTTGTACTTTTTAAGATATTCTATATATAGTAGGAAAAGAAGGCAGTCTGTTGGTTTAGATTGTCCATGTTTCATGTTTTGTATCCTAGAGTACACTAGACTGAAATCAAATATGATGGATAACTTTAGTTCATAAAATTGACTGGAGGAGCTATATGAAATTCAAATTGTTCTTAATATGTTTCTTAAAACCTAGATATTGAGTAGGGTACAGTCATATAGTGTGTAACAACACTTTGTTTAGGCATATGTCTTGTTAACTGTTAATTTATTTGCAAGAGCAGATGAGATTATATAAGGACTCGTTGTAATAAGCTTGGTTTATTTAATTCCTTTTGAAACTACTTTATAGGAGTACACATAGGTCTACTTTGGATGAGTATGCAGGTAAATAAACAGCCTGCCCTCCTCAAAGAGTTAGGCTTTCTAGAATCTCGTAATAATTCCATGTCAACATACCTTTTACACAGATGACCAGTTTTGTGTCCTTATTGTATAGGGAAAAATAGCTTCCAGCTGGTGAATTAAAAATATTGGCACATTTAGTGTTATAAAATGTAGAAGTGTAAATTCTGTAGGCATTGCCCAAGAAAAAATGGAATCTATGATAACATGGACTCTAAATCCTCAGTTTTTATCCTGGTTGATTAAGCAAAAATTTACCTACTGTAACTTTTACTTTAGGCTTTAAATTTAGGCACTTTGTTCTAACTATGAATTTTTTGTTCTTATAATTTTTGTTATACAGAAATTCGTTCTCTCTTCAGGCAGTCTTTGTTGTTGTTAGGTGCTGTTGAGTCAATTTAGCACTTTAAAACTTGTGAGTTTAGCAGGAAATTTGATGCTTGACCCTTACAGATTTTATTTATAATTCCTATCCTCTGCTTGCCTGTGTTTTTAGATTTTGAAAGGTTTTTGTTTTATGATTTAAAAAAAATTGTATTTTGAACTCCAGGTTTACCCTATGGGATAAAAAAAATTTTCCTGCTTAAGAATGACTCACAAGACCTGCCATTATTTGCTTTTGTATATTTTCCATTTCATCTAAGAATTTTGCTCTAATACGTTTATACCAAAGAGTACAAAGGCCAAGAAATTTGGAAGATAGCTACCTGACCAACCGACTGGAAGAGGTCCATATTTATGCCTATTCCCAAGAAAGGTGATCCAACCGAATGTGGAAATTATTGAACAATATCATTAATATCACATGCAAGTAAAATTTTGCTGAAGATCATTCAAAAGCGACTGCAGCAGTATATCAACAGGGAACTGCCAGAAATTCAAGCTGGATTCAGAAGAGGATGTGGAACCAGGGATATCATTGCTGATATTAGATGGATCCTGGCTGAAAGCAGAGGATACCAGAAAGAAGTTTCCCTGTGTTTTATTGACTGTGCAAAGGCATTCAACTGTGTGGATCGTAACAAATTATGGATAAAATTGCAAAGAATGGGAATTCCAGAACACTTAATTGTGCTGTACATAGATCAAGGGACAGTTGTTTGAACAGAGCAAGGGGATACTGCATGGTTTAAAGTCAGGAAAGGTGTGTATCAGGGTTGTATCCTTTCACCATACTTATTCAATCTGTATGCTGAGCAAATAATCTGAGAAGCTGGACTATATAAAGAAGAAAGGGGCATCAGGATTGGAGGAAGACTCATTACCAGCCTGTGTTATGTAGATGACACAACCTTGCTTGCTAAAAGTGAAGAGGACTTGAAACACTGACTGATGAAGATCAAAGACCTCAGCCTTCAGTATGGATTACACCTCAACATAAAGAAAACAGAAATTCTCACAACTGGACCAATAAGCAACATCATGATAAACGGAGAAAAGATTTAAGTTGTCAGGGATCTCATTTTACTTGGATCCATGATCAACACCCATGGAAGCAGCAGTCAAGAAATCAAAAGATGCATGGCATTGGGCATATCTGCTGCAAAAGACTTCTTTAAAGTGTTGAAAAGCAAAGCTGTCACCTTGAAGACTAAGGTACACCTGACCCAAGCCGTGGCGTTTTCAGTTGCCTCATATGCATTGAAAAGCTGGACAATGAATAAGGAAGAACAAAGAAGAATTGATACTTTGAAATTATGGCGTTGGCGAAGAATATTGAATATACCATGGACTCCCAAAAGAACGAACAAATCTGTCTTGGAAGAACTACAACCAGAATGCTCCTCAGAAGCGAGAATGGTGAGACTACCTCTCACGTACTTTGGACGTGTTATTGGGAGGGATCAGTCCCTGGAGAAAGACATCATGCTTGGTAAAGTAAAGGGTCAACGAAAAAGAGAAATCCTCTCAATGGGGTGGATTGACAAAGTGGCTGTGACGATGGGCTCAAGCATTGCAACGATTGTGAAGATAACGCAGAATCGGGCAGTGTTTCGTTCTGTTGTATGTAGAGTCGCTATGAGTCGGAACCGACTTGATGGCACCAAACAACAACAACAGCTGTCATTTGTTACTCCAAAAGTCTTAGTTTTTACATTTTTTGTCCATTTTTTCTTAAGAGTTTGAATGTTTTGATAGCTGATAAATCATCCATTGATTACTGTTTTGAGAATGAATACTTTTTTGAATGTGCATATGCAATAATTTTGTACTTATAAAACCTGTGTCATAATCTTTGCCTTAAATGGTCTTTCATAAAGATAGTAGATTGTCTGGATCAATTTAGGCATTTAAAAATACATATCTGTAGGGCCAACCCCAGACCCATTGGATCTGAATCTCCTAGGGTGAACCCTGGAGACGGGTTATTTTTAGCAAGTTCTCTAGGTGAGTGTTCTACAGCCAGCCCAGCACTAATCCTGGGACTGATGATTTGGTGTCACTGATGTATAGATATACTTTTCAGGTTATTGCTGGCTGCCATTGAGTTGGCCTCCAACTCATGGTGACGCCATGTGTTACAGGGTAGAACTACTCCATAGGGTTTTCTTGGCTCTAATCTTTACAGAAGCAGTTCAGCAGGCCTATCTTCTGCATAGCTGCTGGATGAGTTCAGATCACCAGCCCTTGGGTTGGCAGCTGATCACAAACCACTTATGCCACCCAGGGAACTTTGCAGGTTGTAGATGTAGGCTATATACTAATTAAATAAAAATAATTTCAATGCTAGTTGTTTATCACTGGATAGGTTATTTTGAGTTGAGGTCCAGGATAATGATTTCCAGCTATCTTTTCCAACCTCAAGGCAGAAAGGCTTGGATGAGTGGATGAGTTGGAGTATGGACTCTTGCATGAGAGATTTCCCTTTGGAAGTCTTCTCTGATAACTAAGAGGCCTGTCGGTCCCTTATATAAACTCGACTTGCCTAGTACCTTGGTGGATTTTTACCCTTTGAGTGGTTGACAGGAAACTGTTTTCCTCTTCTTAAGTATCTTGTGTACTTCAGAAGATAACTTGTAGATAGAGTGGTGCTTTGTGGTTCCATTTCTGATTGTGTACAGGAGAGTGTCAGGGATACAATGAGCCATGAGTACAGTATGTATGATCAAGAAGTCTCTATTTTCATTTCTAATTGGCTATACCAATCATATAAAATCATTAAACCTGTCCCATTAAATTCACATGATAATAGCATCTGTATAGCTTATCACATTGCTTACTTGCACCCCTGCTGAATAGTGAAGCAAACTATTTTTATGCCATTGTTAGTTAGCAGGAGATAGATACCCTTTATACAATCAATTTTGTGACTTGCACAAAAATGACATAGTGGTTATTTATCATAAACTTTAGAGAAAGTTCAGGAATTAAATTCCGGT